TGAAAACTATATAGTTTTCAAAACATGCCCATTAGGATATGGTTTAGAGAACCTTGAATTATTGAGGACTCATTTGAGTTTTGGGATTGATTATGCATACATGTGTTTCAAATTGCAGGTGACATTCCTTATTCCAATTTCCTTTAATCATGTCAAATCCTAAACGACCTAGGTCATCTTCAAGTCGATCAAACCAAAACCGTCCTCCCGTTCCTCAACCTCCTAATCCCATTCCTCCTCCACTTTCATCTCTATTAGGATATTGTTTTAACATGCCTGAGCGTCGTAGAGACGAATTGTACTCTAGGTACAGAAACTCTTTCCAAACTTATAGAATCCGTGAAGAGCGTATTCATTCGCTTCAAGCTATGGTTGACATCGATTTCGAATACCTTCCGATTCTTAAAGCTTGGAAGTTTGATAAATTTTTTAAACTTAAACCCATCGTCTATCAACAATTGGTCCGCTTTTCTATTCCAATGGGGTATTTATTCAAAATGAAACTCAATGTGGAACTATAGCCATTAGATCCTATCTTTTAGGTCAATATATTAATATTGACCCCGAGACTATAACTTTTCGTTTTGGGTTAGATGATAATGGTGTATATAATGAAAGTGAAAATGTGGAATATCCCTATGTTCCAAACTCAAGTGTTAGTACTCTACGATCTCATCACGATCGTTTTCTCCATTTGATGATCTCTTGGTGGTTTAGACCATCCGGAGGTAGGTACTCCACACTTCGTGCTAGGGATTTATGGTGGATGTATTGTCTTAAAAATAAAATCAAAATCAATCTACCCCACATTATCTTCAATCAACTAGTTGATGTCATAAACATTGTTCCTTCAAAACATGTCGAAACATTAGTTTATGGATGTCTTCTTAGTAACCTCTTTATCAAACTTGGTCTAGACGTTTCTCTTGACAATCCTATCCCACTTCAAAATCAAATCAATCTCACATCCTTGAAGAAAGTGGATTGGAAACAATACGAGGTTACCGGTCAATGGGTTTTTAGACCCGGAAAGCAAACTCTGGAAGCTAGTTCCTCACGAGCTACTCTTAGCTCCTCTCGTGCTCCTCCTCCTCCAGCTCCGGCTGATGACGATGATCCTGAATTTCAACAACTTATGCAAGACATTGATGATCACGTACCTGATGACGAGCCTGCACCGGAACCTGCTCCACAAGAAGAACAAATGCCTCCATATTTTCGTTTATTTTTGGAGACATTTGATTTACGGTATGCGTCCATGGATTCGCGCTTCACATTCATTGAGTCCCAGCTCTCTACCTTGGGAGCTCGACAACAAGATATGAATGATCGTTTGGATGCACTCTCACTTGAGATGAGAGCACGTTACCCTCCTCCTCCTCCCGATCCTTCAATGGATGAATAGACTTATCTTTCTTTGATTGTTTTTGGGATGAACTTGAATTTTTAAAACATTTTGGATTATCTTTCTTTGATTGTTGGATGACTGTTTTATATATATTTTGGTTTGTTACAACATATGCATCATTTATTTTTTAGTTGAAATATGACCAATTTACCATTTCACATTTTTATTATGAATATTGATTATGAAACTAATGGCTAACTCTCTTTTGATTGTGATCTTAGCAGCTTAAGCTATATATATATATATATATATATATTTAATCAATTGGCTTTGTTTTTTAAAACCTTGTTAAAATTGATTTTTAGTCTTTTTGATTTAACAAAAAGGGGGAGAAATGTTAAGTGTTAAAATGTTTTTAAAAGGGAAAAGTGTTATAGTAAGGGGGAGTAATTTTTCTAAATTGAAATTGATTTCAAATTTTTAGAAAATCTTAAAATAACATAAATGTTTTGTTATTTCAAAAAGGGGGAGATTGTTGAAAACATTTTTCGATATAACAAATTAAATTTAAATGAATTTTAAGATTTTACAAATGATTTTCTAAGTATATTCGATTCAATTAATTGGATATCAAATTATTACTCCAAGTCTTTTAAGATCAATTTCAAACCTTACTAAATGTGTAAAATTGTGTTTTATACTTAATATATTTTTGAAACAAATTTCACAAAGTATTTTGAACCAAAATCAAACCTAAAATCAACTTTTCAGAGTGATGCACCGATGCACCAATCCATGCATCGATGCACCATGAATTAAATTGAACATCGAATGCATTTCATGCATCGATGCACATACCATGCACTGATGTACTAAGGATTTTATGAAAACATCGAATGCATTTGATGCATCGATGCACCAGCAATGCATCGATGCACTCTGGCTATTTTAAAATAGAATGCACTTGATGCATCGATGCACTCTTAGTGCACCGATGCACTAAGGGTCCAACGGTCAAAATATTTGAATTTTACACTGATGCACCGATGCACCATGGGTATGCATCGATGCACTGACGCTCCCAACTATTTTAATTAATTGTTTTCACACTAAAACGGCTATATTATCTTCATTAATGATCCCCAACGTTCAGAAGTGATTCAAGGTGTATTTAAGCAAGCTTAGAAGCCATTGATCAACAACAAGAAACATCAAGCAACTAGAATCAAGAGAGAATCAAAGAGAAAGCATCAAACCTCAAGTTTGAGCATTTCAAGCCTATTTTTTATTCAATATTCATTTTGCTTTCAATAACACTTATTGTGCTCAATTGTATTCATTCTTGAGTGTTCTTTTCTTTGTTCTAGAATTGTGCAAACAATCTACCTTATGAGGATTTCCTTGTAAGTTTGCAAATTTGTATTGTTCTCTTTGGGAGAGAGTGTTCTCAAGAATTTGGGGTATAATTCTTGAGGGTTTGTAAGGTTACTATTTGTCCTCAAAAGAAAGACAAATTAGTGAATTTGTGGAAAATCCTTAGTGTGGATAGCTAAGGTAGTGGACGTAGACTTTGGTTGAGAAAGTCGAACCACTCTAAATCGCTGTGCAATTTCTTTCAATTTTCTGCAAAAGCTTCCACCAAAATTTTTATTGCCAATTCACCCCCTCTTGGCCAATTCCGTCAATCGATTAACTCAACAAATGCAAACAAGAAATTTAAAACAAACAAGGGATCAAAAACCAAATTAGAAAGAACTTATAACTTTTGTTTGCAAAGACAATCAATTATTCGACTATAGGCTTAACTCTCTAAAAAGGTCCCTAGTAGAGTCGCCAAGCTGTCGAAACGATTTTTTTTCTTAAAGGCAAGATTTCGAAAACCACACCATTTTTAATTATTCTCTTTACGATTGAATTTTTAATTAAAAAGTAAATGTGATTTAAAAAGCCTCTCGTTTCAAAAATTTGGGAATTCATTCACGATAAAAACACAAGTTCGAAGAGTCGCCATCAATATTTGATTAGGGTGTGATTGGTCACCCAAAAACGTTTTGTCATTTTAAATAAAAATTAATTTTAATTAAAACAACAAATTTAGGTTCGCGTTACCAAAAAACGAGTTCGGGAGTCGATTACGCGTGAGGAAGGATTAACACCCTCACAGCGCCCTAAATCGGTACCTAGTCGATTAATTAACGTCTTTGCAATGAAATTTACAAGTTCGAGTTTAATTTGGTTTATGATCCCCGACAAAACAACACGTGAATTTTACCATATTTCAAAGCACCAAAATTGATTAAATTAAAATTACCAAGCCTTTAGAAAGATAAAGAATATTCGATTATTTACAAATATCAAGACCAGATCTTAGATAAGTTCTAACTATCTTTTCTCGATAAATTTAAATAGCCGAATATTTCTTTTTCTTCCGTTCCCAAATTTTAAAATAATGGATCAATTTTTAGGTGTCACTAATGGGATACAATTTTAATTTAAAATTGTTAAAACTAGATATCTAATAAGTTAAGACAACCCTCTTAAAATAATTCTAAATTAAAAGGGTATTACTCTTAATCCGATTATGTAATCGTATCGAGTTATGCGAATGAGGGTATCATGCATATTATGCAAAATGGATGTCACGCCAAAATATTTTTATACTACAAATTATATACATTATAACTTTAAGGTATATATTGATATGGAATGCACAAATGTACAACAAACAAAAACATAACACCTCAAATTATTTGTTTTAGAAAATAAATGTGCTTATTAATATAGGGACTAACTAATATTTAAGAAAACCTTTATTATCTTAATTACATGCAAAATAACGATTAAAATTAAAATGCAATTATTACCAAGTTGAACAAATACTAAATTAAAACATAACACTTATAATAAGGACTGATAGTGAATTAAATCCTAAACACATAAGTGGACTAAAAAAAACATACGACAATCTAGAGATTAAATGTCTAAACAACGGAAATTAAATAAACAAACATTTAGAACTAAAATTAAATACGCATTAAATTCAAAGACTAAATTAAAAGCAAAGAAAACTCGAACTGAGGTCTAAAATGTAACATGCAAAACATGAAGGCCTAATGTCTAAAATAGCTATAATTAAATATAACATTCAGAACTAAAATTAAATGCACGTAAAATAAAGAAACTAAATTAAAAATACAAAAACGTTCGAATTAAGGACTAAAACGAAACATGCGAAAATTAAAAGTGAAATGCCTAAACAACATAAACTAATTATAACACTAATTAAGGATGAAATTAAATGCGCTCAAAATATGGAAACAAAATTAAAAACGTGAAAACATCAACCTAAGGATTAAAATGCATGACTCTGAAAATTTAAATGGCTTTTAGGATGAATAATTCACACGCGAAACAAGAAACCCTAAACACCCACTAAACGGCGCCATTTTGAAGAATTAATATAAATAAACTTTAGATGAAAACTTACCCTGTTCTCCCTCTTCTCTACTCCTTTCACAGCCGAGAGCCTCCAAAGGATTCCATGCCTTTCGCCTTACATTTTCCTTGAAGAGAAGATGGAGACCATGGCCACCCACGACCAAGGCCTTTCTTTGGGGTTCTCCGATGAAGATCCAACACACAAAGGCCCAAGGGTTCTCTTCTGCACCAGGACCTCCACGAACCGGATTTAGAAGACAAAAATCGAAGAAGCTCTCCCCTCCGACCACCGTTGGGATTTGCAAATCAGTCACCGGAGCTTGCGCCGTTAAGAACCCAAGGTAAAGCTTTTCATATATTTTTTTGAGGTTGTCGATTCCTTGTTCTTCTCTGCTTGCTGATTCGAAAGTGTGAACGATTTTAGGATTAATTTTTTGTTGCAACGTTGTGGAATGGAAGATGATGGTTGTGAATGATATTTCACTAGTTTTTAATGCTCTTCATTTATGCTTTTCGAATGATTGAAAAAAAAACTTATGAAGGAATTAGGAAAACAAATTTTAAAAAAAGATTTCTAGCCTTTCATTCTTTGTAAAAACATGGAACGACCCCTCTGTTTACACTGCTATTTTTTCGATCAAAGAAAATCTCTCCAAAACTCCCCCTTACAATGCTTTTTCCCCCTCTGTTGAAAATCCCCTGTTCTGTAGAAAAACTGAGCCTCTCACTGTTGGTTTCTGGTTCCGTGCTCTCGTGAACCTCCCTTCCTTGAACCCCGTTTACAATGTTTTCGAATAAAAATATAATACCCCCTGATTGTTTGTTGAATTGTTGATCTCCCTCTATTTTTCGTGTTTTTTGCTCTCCTCCTGCCCTTTTACTTAGCTTTCTTTTCTGGTTGAGGGCCCCCCGATTTTTATCTCCATCGTCTTCACCCAATCTCCTTGTTATCTTGTTGCATGTCTATAGGTTTAGGTGGAAATCCCAGATTTGTAGGGATTAAGTTACGTTCTTCTTGACTTTGTGCCATTTTGGTTGACTGTGTATGACATTTTCGGTGGTCTTTGTTGATGTAGGTTGATAACAATAGCTTCGATGGTGGCATGATTGGCGTTCGACACTGCATGGCGTGGATGACAAGTTGGTGTCAGCTTGCTTTAGGATTAGGATTTTAGCAAATCCTAAATTCACCAGGTCGGGTCACTGAACCGGGTCACACTTAGGCTGCTCTTGGGCTCCGAGTTTTAATTTCTTCAAGCCTTCTGTAATTGGTCTTTATAGTTTGGGCCTGAAAAATCTCCAGAAAACATTTAATATTTATTTAGTGAGTTAAATTCTCTTAACACACACATATATATATATATATATATATATATGTATATATATATATATGTATATATATGTACATATGCGATCACAAGCATAACTACATATTAAGTAAACAATCATTACGTAATTAAACACACTCATACAACTAATAAACTAACGATAATTTAAATAAATAATCACATGCACAACTTGATAATAATAACTAATTAGTAATATATATATAAACTAGAGTAAAAAAACTCGAATGAAAGCCCCGGACAAAATGAGCATCTACATGATGAATTAACTTAAGTGTCACAGCAAATATGTCATCCACAGATTTGACTTCCTTAAGTCAATGATTAGATCTTCTGAAAGGATTTTTTAACCTGTAGAAACAAACAGACTATCCAAAACCTTTGAGATTGTTTCCCTTGAAACATATTTTGTCTCTCTTGAGACAGTTTCCCTTGAAACATTTTTTGTCTCGCTTGAGACTGTTTCTCTTGAAACAAATTTTGTCTCCCTCGAGGCAGTTTCTTATGAAACACCAAATAAATCCCATTTTCTTTGAGATCGTTTCTCATGAAACAACAAAAAAAACTTTGAGATGTTTCTCTTGAAACAAATCTTATTTTCTTTGAGATTGTTTTCCATGAAACAAAAAATATATTTGAGATCGTTTCCCTTGAAATAAATTTTATCTCTTTTGAAACAGGTTCTCTTAAAGCATCATCTGTGAGTCAGTTTTCTTGAAACCATTATCCCTAAAGATGGCATGTCGTCCTCATCACGTAGGAACCGTGTCATCCACTGACCAACTGTCCTCATCACGTAAGAACTGTGTTACCCTAGATAATCAGCCATCCACATCGTATAGGAATCGTGTTATCATCCCTAATGATGGTCTGTCATCCTCATCAAGTAGGAACTGTGTCATCCCTCGACCAGATCTCCTCATCACGTAGGAGCCGTGTCAACCTTAGATAACCAGTCGTCCTCATCACGTAGGAACCGTGTTATCATCCCTAATGATGGCCTTTCGTCCTCATCACGTAGGAACTGTGTCATCCCTAGACCAGATCTCCTCATCACGTGGGAGCCGTATCAACCTTAGATAATCAGCCATCCTCATCACGTAAGAACCGTGTTATCATCCTTAGATGATTCGAACTCTTCATTACGTATGAGCTGTGTCGTTCTCCAAATCAAACATTATCAAGTCTCAAAACAAAAAAAGAGAACCAGACAAAATCTAATTGCCTTTTTTGTCTTTTCCCTATTCATGTTAACACAAGAATGTGTAAAGAGGGGCAGTTGTAAACACCTATTTTTGACCGGGCTTTAAAAATATTATATTATTATTATTGTTATTATTATTATCATTATTATTATAATTATTATTAACATATTTACATTGTTTTGTAGGCCTAAACTCAAGCCCGAACCAATTACCCAAATGAGGCCTAATCACTAATACAACCCAGCAGCCCAATACCTAGTTGGAGTCAAGAATCTAACCTGACCCGTGAGACCCGACTCAAGTCTAGACCCGAGGCCCAACCGACCCGACCCGGCTCACATAACCCTAAACAATTGGTTGCCTCAAAGTGCTCTGCCGCCGCTTCCACTAATGCATATTTCCTGCCACTCACAAGGAATAAAACATGAGATATTATATTCAAATATCAAATGTATAATATTGTATGTTATATCTGTAAAACAAAAAGGCTATAAAAAGCCGAATGAAAATGTACACAATGGGTTCCTCTCAGTTTTTTTTTTCCAGAGAATTTTCATCAATAAAAATACAACAATTGAAACACATTTTTAGCAATTCAAGTCTAAAATCGAAAGCAAATATTTCAAGGTATTCTAGTAGGTTTTACGCTTTGTTTATGCGGTAACATTTTAAATTATAATTTCGATCTTGGTTTTCATATAAATCTTACGACTGCTTAAAGAAAATAAATAGATAGGGGAACGAACAGTGTAATAAAAATACAAAAGAAAACGAATTTATCAACAATCAAAAGAGAACCTAAATCCTAAGGTATTCTATTTTTTTTATTTGTTTAATTTTTAGATTGCAACTAAAAAAATATAGTTTAGTATAATTTTCATTCTTGGCATGTTTATTATTATTCGAATATAACAAAAAATTAAGGAGTTAGAGATTACCTTAGCTTGTTGCCGATGCGACTTGTCGAGCGCTGGACGAGAAGAGTCACTCATACGGTGTTCGGAGCTAGGCGGTGTTGGCTCTTTGGGAAGGTCGGCTGCCGCGAGACTTATGAAGGGGTTTCCATCGCAGAATAAAAGTTGGGAAGGGATATTGTTTTGGGGTCTCACGTGTTCTGCAAATGAAAAAGGGAAGGGGTTGTTTTTTAAAATATTTAGTTAAATCACGTGTCAGGTCTCGAGAGTCTGGAAACTTCTTGTTTTGTTCATTTATTTTAGGATTAATTATTATTAGGTCCTCATAGTTTATGCATTTATTTACATAATGGTCACCAATTCGTGGTATAATCACCCATAAGTCCCTCTAATCTAGTCGTGTTTTCATATTATGGTCACTAGTTGCATTTATTTTTATTTTGAACTCTATATTTTACTTAGTTTTAATTTAGTCATTAAACTAATATGTTTTTAATTTGAATTTAGTTATTGTCCTTCTAGTTTCTGTTAATACTATTTTAATCCTTTAATTTTTTGTTTGTGCTATTTTGGTACTTTAAATTTATTTTACTATTATTTTTTGCTATTTAATCCCTTAAGTTTATATTTTTCTCTTGTAGCTCATTCATAGAATTAATTTGATCCATGAATTTTATTTTTTTCCAATTTATTTTTTTATATTTCTTTCATTCCTTTTATTTTTTATTTCGATCTTAATACTAACTCTTTGTTTTTATTTGTTTTATTTTTTAACTTTATTTATGATCGTTTTCTAGGATAATTTTAATTGATAAAAAAGGTAAATAATTATGATCGAATTTAAAAATTTTAATTTTCGCAATTAAGACAACCGATAAATTAAATGGTATCGAAAGGGCAGTTCAAGGCTTCTAATCATTCCTTGACTGTAACCGACTCTCGAGGCTGACATATTTCTGGTAAACGCAGATCAGGTAAGATGGTATCCGATCAACCTAATATTTTTTAAATAATCGATGGAAACTCCTAACATTTTATTTAAGTCGAAGCCAAATTTTGGGCCCGCCCGAAAGACGGCCGCGACACCATTATCCCGACAGTCTTTCGGGTGGGCCCAGAATTGGGCATCAACATGGATTAAATTACTAGAGTCTCCACCGGTCATTTATTTTAAGAACAAATGAGTTGATCGGATACCTTATTTCTTACCTAATCTGCATCTTACCAGTGATATGTCAGATTCAGGAGTCGGTTACAGTCAAGGAAGGGTTAGCACCCTTGAACTGCACTTTCGGTACTGCTTAATTTCCAATTGTCTTAATTACGAAAATTGAAAGTTAAATTAAAAAAGGTAAAAATTGATCCAAATTATTTACCTCTGATAGACTTAAACGAAGACCCTTAAAAGATAGAAATACTAGACTTGTAATGAAGCGCAAAATCGAATTAAGGTAAAAAAAAATGCATCAATATGGAGATAATAAACAAAACAAAAAAAAAGCTAAAAAAGGAAAAATAAAATTAATAACCAAAACTAAAAATATAGAACAATGGTAGAAATAATTAAATAAGGGAGACAGAAGCAGAAATACAACAAACATAAAAATGAAAAAAAATATAAAGTAAAATTTTAAGAAGAAAAATAAAAACAATATATATATACATGTAAAATGAAAACGAAAGGATAAAAAAACAAATAAAATAAAAAATGAACATGTAAATATATATATATATATAAATTAATAGGTATTTGAAAAGAATAAATAATGAGAACAAACAAAATAATGAAAAAATAATAAAAAAGAAACCAATCACTTCACCGAAAAGGAAAAAAGTAAAAGTTTGGTGAGTGAGAGATGCAGGAAAAAAAGATGAGGGGGCCCTAGCTAATAAATGTGAGGTGATATATATATATAGTGTTTAATAAAATAAGTAGAAAACTAATAATAAAAAATACAATAAATATATATATAAAATATTAGGTAAAAAATAATAATAATGACAAAAAAGGTAAAATATACATATATATACACATATAAATAAAAATAAAAAATAAAATAAAATAAATAATAAATAATAAATAATTAAAAATAATAAACCAAAAATAAAAATATTAAAAACAAAGAATAAAGAAGATAAAAATAAAAATATAAAAAATATGTATAATAATAATAAGAGGGTTAATTTGAAATAAAATCAAAATTGGATGCCAATTTAAAAGAAAATTCAGGATTAAATTGAATGAAATGGGCAAAAATAAAAGATTAAAAAACCGGGGGGAACAAAAACACAATTCCCTTTTTTTAATGAAAAACACGCGGATCGTGTGTAGGTATGGGTCGGGTCGGGTCGGCATATATCCACGGATTGGGTATAATACCCAACTTTCAATAACAGTTTTTCATTTTTCCATTTGATCCAAAATGGATCAAAACACCCCTTCTAAAACTCTCTGTTTTGTTCTTGGGGTGTTCTTCATTTGAAGAACACCCATCGCACAAACCTTGAAATGGACAACCATAGTATAATGGTGTCGGCCGCCGTTCATCGGTGGTGGTCGAAACTTTTTTGCTTTTTTTAAAACTCTTTTAACCCTCATCTCAAAAACACCCTTAAATTTTTGAAATAGGCCTCGAGGAGGGCTAGATCTGAGGAAAACTTCTCAGCTACCCTCCCCTCTGATCATCGACCGGTTGGTTCTTTGGGATTTTACAACTCGAAAGCGAAGGGAATGGAGGAATCTACATGCAAACATGCGAAAAATCGAACCAAAAAGGTAAAAAAGAGATACCTTTTATTTATCTTCGAATCGTTTACAAACTATGCTTAAAACAATATTACGATTCTCTTTGTAGTTCGTAGTGTGTTTTTGCCTAGTAATCATATACTCATGTGTTGGGTTTACAAGCTTATTTATAATCTAATACATGCTACTTTTAGTTTGAATATTCTAGAGTCATATTCGGGCTAAAAGACTCGATTTGTTGACTACTGGTGATGCTGGTATCGAGAAATCGCCAGGGAATTCAATGAGGCGTGGGATGCGGCACTTGGAGCAGCTGGCGGCTGAAATATTCAAAACCCTAATTTGCTTTAGGGTTTCAGGTCAGGTCGGGCACAAGTGGATCTGGTTCTCGGGTCTGGGCTGCTGATTCGGGCCACTACTGGGCCACTTGTATTTTGAATCTTGTTTTGGCTTTTGTTTGATTGTGGGTGTCCTTGTAAATGTTGGGCCTGTAAAAACAAAAAAAACATGTATTATTTTAAATTAAATATAATATATATATATATATATATATATATATAATTTTATATGGACGAAAATAAGTGTCCACAGCTGCCCCTCTTTGTCCTTTTTCGTGAAACGAAAAATAGGACAAAGATATAAAGACAAATTTTCGTTCGGTGGAGTTGAAAATTGACTCTGATATTTCAATTAAGAATAACTCCCTGTAGAATTGAGTTGCAGATGACTCATTCGTCGCGAAGTCGAGTCAATCTTGAAATGATATGGAATTGAAGTCGTAGTTCAGAATTTGAATCAGAATGTGGCTTCTTGTTGAAAAATTGTAGTCAACTCCATTTTTCTTCTCGATTTAAAGACCTTGGTTTAAAAATTCGACTGGAAAGTAGTTGATACGTCATCAAGTTGAATGATATCAAAGTCAAAAGTTTTCATTGACCGATAACCCTTCTCACCTTGAGTTATGATGTACTATGCTGAGAGATTGCCCCCCCAGATCTTCTTCTTGACTTAAAGACCTCGGCTTTAACCAGGAAGTGGTCACTTGATGCTTCAATACGGTTGATGTATCATCGAGCTTAGTGGAATCGAACTCGAAAGTTTTTTTTGACAGATAGCTTTTCTCGACTTAAGTTATTCTGTAAATTTGACGTGCCCTTGAGCTAAATTGAATCGAACTCGAAGGTCTTTATTGAGAGATAGCCCTTCTTGCCTTGAGCTATGTTGTAAATTTGATATGCCTTTGAGCTGAATGTGATCGAACTCGAAGGTCTTTGCTGACAGATAATCCTTCTCTCCTTGAGTTATGCTGTAAGTTTGATGTGCCTTTGAGCTGATTGTAATCGAACTCGAAGGTCTTTTGTTGATAGATAACCCTTATCGTATTGAGCTATGCTGTAAATAATGTGCCTTTGAGCTGAGTGTAATCAAACTCGAAGGTCTTTTGTTGGCAGATAGCCCTTCTTACCTTGAGCTATGCTGCAAATGATGTACCTTTGAGCTGAGTGTAATCAAACTCAAAGGTCTTTTGTTGGAAAACATCCCTTCTCGCCTTGAGCTATGCTTCAAATGATGTACCTTTGAACAGAGTGTAATCAAACTCGAAGGTCTTTTGTTGGCAGATAAATCTTCTCGCCTTGAGCTATGCTGCAAATAATGTGCCTTTGAGCTGAGTCTAATTGAACTTGAAGGTTGTTTGTTGGCAGATAACCCTTCTCACCTTGAGCTATGCTGTAAATGATGTGCATTTGAACTGAGTATAATCAAACTCGAAGGTCTTTTGTTGGCAGAAAGCCCTTCTCGCCTTGAGCTATGATGCAAATGATGTGCCTTTGAGCTGAGTGTAATTGAACTGGAACATCTTTTGTTGGCAGATAGCCCTTCTTGCCTTGAGCTATGCTGCAAATGATGTGCCTTTGAGCTGAGTGTAATCGAACTCGAAGGTCTTTTGTTGGTAGATAGCCCTTCTCGTCTTGAGCTATACTGCAAATGATACGCCTTTGAGATGACTGTAATCGAACTCGAAGGTCTTTTGTTAGAAGATAACACTTCTCATCTTGAGCTATGCTACAAATGATGTGCATTTGAGCTGAGTGTAACTGGACTCGAAGGTCTTGGTTAACAGATAACCCTTCTCACCTTGAGTTATGCTGTAAATTGGATGTGCCTTTAAGCTGAGTGTAATCGCACTTAAAGGTCTTTTGTTGGCAGATAGTCCTTCTCGCCTTGAGCTATGCTGCAAATGATGTGCCTTTGAGCTAAGTGTAATCGAACTCGAAGGTCTTTTGCTGATAGATAGCCCTTCTTGCCTTGAGCTATCCTGTAAATTATGTGCCTTTGAGCTGATTGTAATCGAACGCGAAGGTCTTTTGTTGGCAGATAACCCTTTTCTCCTTGAGCTATGCTACAAATGATGTGTCTTTGAGCTGAGTGTAATCAAACTCA